TGTATTTGATTGTGTTTATCTGCAGTTAGTTATACAAATTCAGATATGGGATGAAATCGGATAGAAATGAACGAGTTTAAGAGTTTTTAAGAGTTTTAAGAGTTTTGGCCAAATGCTTTATAATATAGTATAGATATAACTTAATTAACATATATATATGTATTAAATAATAATAATAATTATTAAATATGATATATTATGGAATGGATTTGATGTTTTAAAAAACACAAGTTTCCAAGCAATCAACACCCCCGATTAAGGGGTGCCATTAGCACTGCCCATATATATATATATATAGAGAGAGAGAGAGAGAGAGAGAGAGAGAGAGAGAGAGAGGATATAGGATGTGTATATTAATAATAATATATTATATTATATTATTTGATTGATTGATTGATTTTGATATTTTATGTGTTTTATTGATGTTTCAAGCTTCAAGACATTCAACACCCTTATTAGGGGTGCCATTAGCACTCTCCTTATTTAATTTGACCGTGATAATAATATAATAATGATTTGATAAGTTGAAGACTTAATATGACATGATTTTGATGTGATAATCATCTAATAATTATGTGATAATCGAAAATCAAGGATGATCATATCTACATTCATCGCTCTGTTTGTTGATTATGTGATTTTGTTGTAATAATAACGTGATCATTATTTGATAGTGGCTTTAGAGATAAGAATGTCACCAAAATTACAAATAACTACGAAATCACATGATTGTTCTTAGTTGATTATATTATTTTCTATTTTAATTATGGGTTAAATAATTTAAAGGCCCATGAATGTTCTCGAATTCTCGTAAACTAGGGTGTTCTCGTTTGATCTTCCATACACACGCACGTGCGTGCGCACGCATACACACATATTATAATCTAATGTTATACACTAATATCATTAATTTTGATTATATATATATATAAACATTTATTAATTTATAAAATTAAATAGACTTATTGATTTTGTCTTTCAAAAGAAATTCTTATTAATTATACTTTCAGACTTTATAATTGAGCACATTTTATAAATCAAACATCAGCTAAATGTAGGCTAATGGACATCGTAGTTTGTTTAGAAAATGCAAATACAATAGAAGATCGAACAATGAAAAATCAACCGATGGCAATGAACTTTAAACGTAGATCCATCTTCCAAGAAAAACAGAGGAAGGCCAACGGGTTTTGGGAAAAAGCAATAGATGTTTAGATATACATACATATATATAGGAGTTCATTCAAGGGAGAACTGATTAGTTTCAAATCTCAACCACAAATCAATGGATAAATTAGGAAATTAATATTTTTGGTAATTTGACTTAAAATTATAATTAAAGGACAATTTAGGTATTTTAAATTTTTTTCTCTCTCCTCTCTCGCTCTCCTATCTCCGGCCTACGACGAACACCATGTGATACCCAAATACACCAAGATACACAATGTGATACCCAAAACACATCAAGTAAAACTTTGAGACCGCTATGATACCAACTGTGATACCAATTGTAATACCACCGTCGCAAGTGAGCGTTTAGTGGTTGATCATTGGATACGACGTCTTGGCCAGACAAGATGGCCGAAGGAGGTCACCGAAGTGGTGGTGGGTGCTGGAAAAGGCCACCCGATTTGGTCCATGTATGTATATATATATATATACATATATTAAAATAATGAAACTAATTAAAGTAAATTGGAAGATTAAAGATGCTACAAGAACACGCCCATTTGATAATTTGTTTCATGTGACATTTTAAGTCGATGTTTGTTGAGTAAAACACATTTTTTTTATATATCTTTGATTGATCAAAATAAAAGTTAAATAACAATTATACCCGTAATATTAATTTTGTTCATCTCATCTTATCAAAAAATGTAATTTACTCAAACGAATAAGCGCCTCTTGTTTGATCATGAGTAGATATCAAACATGCTCAGGGTTATTGACAATAAGACTCGGGCCTTCGGGGTTCCTCCCAAAGATCACGTGTTCCGAGTCCCAAATCAGACCCGGAAAATTAAAAGAACACTAAGTGAATAAAACGTATCGATTTAGATCGAGCAAAACTGATATAATCCGAAGCAATATTTCATGCATACACTGTAATAATCACCAACAAACTGCAGTAATTATGGAACTCTACCTCCTTCCTAATATTGTCGCACTGTGCATACCCTGTGCAAAACCAGCTATTGTCGCACTTTCTCTTGACATCATCGTGGATTTCGAACTACATGAGCTCAATGATCTTCGGTCGCTTTCTTCTTTGGCCATTCTCAGACATTGCTTTTGTCGGTTTATCATCGAGAGTTTTACATTTACCCTCGTTAGTTTCATCATTGCTATCATCATCATCGTCGTCATTGTCATCGTCACTGCTATCTTCGGATTCGGAGTCACTGCTACTAGCATCAAGAGAAATGACTGGTTGAGAACCAACAATGGCAGATTCAGCAGCAGCCACCGCTGCAGGGGTGTGAAGATCAGCAACACCCAGCATCAAATCCTGAGTTGGTCAAGTAGCAAAACAAAATTAGAAAAAAAAAACTCAAAATCAAAATTGCAAGGTTTCTCTAGCAACATATGCCATTCGTCCTAAATTGTGCGACTTTTTCACTGTGGACATTTACTTTAGCATGGAACAGTAGTTTTGAGGAAGGTGTTTTGAGTAATAACCGAATGCATTGAATACCCTCTAATAACAAAATAGGTAGGATCTTGTCTGATCAGATAACCAAACTAACCTAGTGAATCCCGCATGAAGTAGGGACTGGAGAGGGTAAAATGTAGGGAAACCTTGACTCTACCCCAAGGAATATATATGCTTTGAAGACCCCCCCGGCTTGCAAAAAAAGGTTATTTGAAGAATTCTTCGGGGAGTCTTAAGCTACACCGTAATTTGTATGCACAAGGAGTAAAGATGGCTATTACATACCATTTCGATGTATTCTGATTCATCCCCTGTGAGTGCCTCAATATCATAATTCTTAGAGTTCTGCATATAAAAGTGTACAGTTTGGTAAGATGTCTATACACATGTGTTGAACAATTAACAGAAGAAAATCTTCATACCATTGCATCGAGCTGCAACTTCTTGTTTGACTCTGCCATGACTCCTAAAAAATCCCTCACTTTTCCCATAACTGCAGTAAAAATAAGACATAAATATACGATTCTTTTATTTCATCTCATTGAAACCTACATTTGATAAACTTTTCTAAGACCATAAACTTTCTTTGAATGTTTATATATGTTTCATATTAAGAAAAAGAAGGCAAATATAGCCAAAAGAAAATGTGACCACGTCGCATATGTGCTCAGATGGCATAAGTCCTCTGCATTAAAAAGAAAGTTTCTAACAACAAACGTATTTTATGCATCATATAAGTTGTCAATCTTCCTCATAAATAGACATCCCTGGAGAAGAATAGAATCCAAGATACGTCAAACGTTCAAGAATAAAGAGAAAGATGTTGAGTCTGCAGATGAGGAAAAAAGGGCATCGAGGAGTATGATATTCAACCCAATGTTATAAATAAAAGTTTAATGGAGTTGAATATCATACTCATCGATGCTCTTTTATCAAGCTTATAGACCCTCCATCCCAAAATACATAACACGCTGCTGGTTCACCAGCTACATAGGGAGAGGGAGTATTATCAATTCGATTGATCTTTAGATTAATGCCAAAATCCAAATAGTTGAACAAGTTAACAATTGTCAAGTCTACAAAAATGCATCTCATTTTTCCCTAAAGTAGGAGCAAATTGCAACATCAAACGTGCAGAAAGATGTATCCTCAACGGGTTTCAATACGTTCAAAATGAAACCATACACAAAAACAAGCACTCTAAACCATTAAAATAGTAATAATCCAAACTTTCAAACACCAAAACCCTATGTGCCTTTCCCCTGGCCGTTTATTGCAGGGTTGCTTGATAAATTGATCAACTAAACCTAGTGCACATGTTCAGTTTAACGAAATCAACTCATTACACACTTTGTTGTGCAGATGGCTATCAATCTGTTCATCTTTGTGTAGTTCAAAACCCAGATTTAAACATTAATCATGTATCAAAACATCCGTAATTCATCAAATTAGAAAAATCCAAAAATTGATCTATAACAGGGTTACAATTACGATTCTTACAGCAAATCATTGATAAATTAAACATATATAAACAAAAACAAGTATAACGTGTAACCTTGGCTAGGAGGAGGAGCGGCAATGGCGGGCTTGGAATCAGGAGGTCCATTAGCTTTAGTTTTTGCCGCTTCGAGCTTCTTCAACAGATCCTCATCACCTCTTTTGCAAACAAGAAGCGCTGATTCTGTACATAAAGCAGTAGAATGATTCAATTAGCATATAAAGTGGATACTATCGGTGTGTGTTTGAGAAAAATACCTTTGGAAGAGGAATTCTGAGTGCTGTTTTCGAGGTCTAGAAGAGCTTGACTGCTGTTGCTGCTACGCCCCATGGTCGCTCCCCAAAACTTCTACGAGCACCGCCGTGTGTTATAGAAGTATGGGAAGAAGACGGCCGCAGCAGGAGGAGGAGGAGTGCGGCCAGGCAACTTAGGTTTGGTCTTAAAGTATTTTTTTCTCTTTTTCGTTTTTTTAATTCGAAAAAATTTAATACACAAAAAATGAATTTTAAATATATGGACAAATTATATGAAAAAATAACGTCTTCTAATTTGATTCATATTATGGGTAACGTACTTTTAAAACTTCTATTTTGGTATCTAAGATGTAAAATTTTAAACATTTAAATACTCGAATAACCGGTTGAAGTATTAACCGTTACCACACACAAGAAATATATGGCTTAGAAAGCAAATTTCTGCTTTTAGGTTGATTTATGGGTCATTGTCTTACAGAAAATATCTTAATATAAATTTAAAAAGAAATAAAAATTGTGGCTACGGAGGTTCAAATGCGGTGACTTCGAGCTATCTGCAAAGCAAGTGATCGTCCTGAGATTAGTCAGCTCGCATAGCGGATTGGATATCCAAGTTAATAAAAAAATCTATAAATTTGCTTAGTCAATTTGTAGATTTTTGTGATAATTGGCAAGGAAACGACTATCTTGGGTAATTTTACATTTTAATAGAAATACATTAAAAATAGATAAATGACGCTAATTAGGGATGGACATATGAAACAAGTTTAAGGGTTTGTTTGTTTTTTGAAAAAAACCACTTAATACCTTTTAATTTCGAATCGTTCAGACGTTTTTGTTTTCAGACCGTTTGTTTTTTTTATTTTTAAATAAGAGCTGAAAAGCTCTTCTTTTACTCTGAACAAAAAAATGATAACGTAATCACTTAAATCCTCTTAATCGCTCCCTGAACTCTCAACACTGCTTCATCACTGTATCCTTCTTGCCCAGAAGCTTCTTCATCTCCCGCAACGAACTCCATTGATCTCCAAACTCCAAGAACTGCCCCAGAACTCACAAAGTCCTTGTGGTGCTCTCTACACTCGGTCGTGACGACGTGACCGTAATAAACTCCAGAGTTTTCATCAAGAACGGAATAAATCATAGAAATATGAAGAAGGTGTTAATAGTGGTATGAACTCAAGGCCAAAATAAACTCTGGAGTTTTCATCTTCATGTCTCGCCTCCTCCTTCTCCGACCACCACCACCTTTGGCCTCCTCCCCTCCTCCGATTTGTGACCATTTGTTAACAAATCTAAAAACTCAAATCTTATCCGTGTGTACGTGGGAAACAGGGAAGAAAGAAATTGATTCATTTCTGTTGAGGTATCCAAAAACCCAGTCAAAAATACAATCGCTGCCATTGGGTTTCAATCAATCATTGAGTTTGGATTGAGCATTCATCAAGTTTTGACAGAGATAAAGATATTAGGGTTTCAATGGTTGAGGTGCATTAGTAGCAGATTCGAACAAATGGCAGGACTGTGAAAGATTTTGGGGTGATCATTTAGGATTTTCATTTTCAAAGTTGAAGAAATGGAGATGAATATCCAATTTTGAAGTTGAAAAAAGGTTGTTCTAAGATTTTGATTGTGAAGTTGAAATTGATCTAGGGAGGTTTTCATTTTGTTTTTTTTGGGTAATTTTAGATTTCAGACGTAAAAACAAACAGTTTGACCGATTCAGATTTCAGACTTCAGCATCACCTCTTATAAATCAGAAGTGAAATCCGACTTCAAAACCTCTTAAAAAACAAACGCCACCTAAGTCAGACCAGTTACATCGAGCCTCTTGTAAGCTAACTTCACATCAGAAGAAGAATTCGTTCATACCAATGAAGGTTGGAGAGATCTAAGAATCGACGAATAAACCTTTGATGCTAATGCAACTTCTTGAGCAGCCAAGATATTGAAGAACGAACATTTCTCAAGTATTCAACTATAACGTTTTCTGTTATTTTTACAACTATAACGTTTCCTATTATTTTTACAACTATAACAATTTGGTAAAAAATTTACCCAATCAAAACCGATTTTATAATTTTGGTTCATGCGGTTCTTGATTGGATAAAAGACAAAAAAAAATCGATAAACGGACGAAAATGTCCCTTGTTTAACGGAATTTTTTAACGGCCGACCAAATCCGGACGTTTTTGCAAACCACGATGGTCATCTTGTAACTTCAAAACTACAGGGACGAAAAGTGTTATTTTTGACAACCTACAGGGACCAAATTTGCAGTTTACTACTTCACTCTGCTCCTTTGAAAGATCGAGTTTCAGCCGAGGACAAAATAGTCCATTCATCCACATCTACTTCCTTATGCTAAATGGTTTACAGATCACAAGTATGTTGGGGATGTGAAGATCAGCAAGTGAAGCTACATATTTACTCCTGCCATGAACATGCAACATTGAATGGCAATTCATAATCCGAAACAAGAATCTCTAACCATTGAATGATCAGAAGAGCAGCACCTTGATCAAGCCAAGTCAGCGACAAACAGAACCGACACTCGTCTAGGTGAGACTCGTCGGCTCTTCCCGGATGAGAACAAGGAGCTCAATCCTATCGAGTGGATCAAGAAACGATTCCTGCAAATGCCAACAACTATCATCTTCAGAAGCAAAACCTTCGTGCTGCAGGGCCAAATGAAATATACCCCTCCTGCAAATGTGGTACGCAACCAACGAATCGGAATCACATAAATAGGCAACATAGTGACGAAAAGTAAAACCATCAAACTTAAAAGTCAAGCATGTAACGGATTTGTAGCCATGGGTGGACAAACAGAGGTCAACAGGAGTGTGTATCAGTCCAGAACAGGATCAGCATGACATAAAGATGTCGTTGCTATTCCTGTGTGTTTGGTGCATGGACGGAACAGGACAAGATGGTTGAGACTTGAGAATGAGGTAGGTGGGTGAAAGAATTCCGGAATGTTTTAATTTGACATGGCTAGTTTGGTAATTTATTGATATTGTCTCATCTCCCGGATTTTTGTTCCACCTATTTTGGTGGGACAGAAAAAGTTGCATTTTTATTCCACTTAGATTCCGTCTTCCCAATGTCACGCCAAATGAAACGCACCCATATGGCTCTAGTTTTTACCAAAAATCTTAAGGGTGGAAACATACATAAACAAACCTTGAGGGTCAGCTCAACTAGCAAATACAGAATAGGCATTGGGGCTCCTCCCATTTTTCGCCGGTTCGAGTTTCCTCAGGGCCACCGGAGATTTTCCTAACTGCATGGTTACCAAAAAGAAATAGAAACATACATAAACACACGTCTTCTAAAAACTTAAGGAAAACAGAATAGGTCATGTTCAGGTTCTAGTAAGTTTAAATGTGTTTCGGACCAAACTGGGCCGAATGTTCATAGAAACCAAGCGGTCCCGGTTCCGTTTGTTGGTTGACCCAACTTATGCACACCCCTAGACGTCTACCAGTCTTTAAACGAGACACCAAGCTAGATCTATCATCATATTTTTACCTCTTTATGCATTCATAAAACTTTATGTTTGTTAGGGACACGTTTGGTATATGGGACCAGACGCAATAGGACAAAACAAAAACTTGATGTCCCATGTTTTAGGGCACAATTAGACTGGGATAGGACATAAATGATAGGAACAAAAATGCATTTTTTTTGTCCCACCAAAAATGAGGGATATGGGACAAGATAGGTAAAATTACTAAACTACCCATGTCAAATTAAAAACTTAAAACCTTCGGCGATTCATTCACCCTCCTAGCTAACTCTCCCATTTCATCCGCATACCAAACGCACCCTAGAAGAGCCATTATATCATACTAGAAGATACGAATATCCAATAACAGGTTCCACCTACTACGTATGAAAATGAGAGCCATAAATGAATAATGAATGAAAATAGTGTGGGAAAATGTAACCTCATAAGTGCATCTCCTCATCCTTGTGTCATGCCGACATGTATGGCCCTCACACCTAATGTCCATTTGGGCCACATTGTGTGGCTGAGTGAGTAAGATCATGAGCAAAAGTGCAGGCCCTACTTCTTTTCATTCATGTCATCATAACGAAGCCATTGAATATCCTGTTAACATACGATAATACCCTTTCTTAAAGAAAGATAAAATAGAAAGGAAATATATAATATGTATATATGTGGTAGCAATTTCTTTGCGACAAATATTTCATAATGGATCGTGGAAGCATAGCTTAACATTTAAATATTCTAACAAGTTCAATAGCATGCATAGAAATTGCAATAACTCCATGGATCCCATAAAAAATGCAACGTCTCCATATTTTAAATTTTTCCAAGTTAAAATCATTCATTTGCTTGTTATAATCATTTATTCATAAAACAATATTGATGATATTGAAGGGTATTTTAGATATTTGACAAAATAGTCAAACATTTTTCCTGAAACTATATTTCAAGTCAAAAACATTGCAACATTCATGGAACATAGATCATGTTTTGGATAATAACCGATCGTGATACATACCCTTGATCCGACCAAAATGCATGTAATGAAGATAATGGGCCTAAAAGATTCGTCTGAAAAGGAAAAGTTGCAATTTCTATAGGCCCTGTGAGATAAGTTCCTAAAAAGTTTGAATTATTTTGAAGCAAATCAATGATTAGAAACTGCATACCATATAACATAGGCTCTGAGAAAGTTGAATTGCTTCCTCCCACCTATTAACTTTTACAAGACCTTTGACAAGGTTGACAAAGACGCTCAGTTCAGGAACACCGCCTTTGCTAATCATATCTGCATATAACTCGAAAGCTTTCTCGACCCTGTGTGAAGCCGAGAGGCTCTCAATTAACGAAAAATACAGAGATTTGTCTATTGAGGAACATAACGAGCTGATCTCTTTAAGTAACTCCAACGCTACTTCCAACTCTCCAGCCTTTCTATAACTATCAAACAGAAGTTTGTAAACTGGAATAATGGGCACAGAATCATACTCACTTATATCATCTAAAAGACCAAGATTAATCAAAAACTCCCGGTTGAACCCTTCAATGACCTTGCGGTAACTTGCCATATGCTTGGGCCAATACGTTTGTTTCATCTCCTCAAGAAGCTCATGAGCTTCTTTCAAAAGACCAGAAACACAACAATGGTGAATTAGAACCGTATACGTGACGTAATTTGGAGCACAACTTTTGCTACCCATTTGTCTAAAGATTTCAAGACTTTTTTCCACTTTGCCCATTTTCCCAAAACCATTTATCATGGCCGTATAAGTTACAACATTTGGTTTACACCCTTTTACCTCCATCATCTCCATGAGACGATAGGCTTCATCCGTCTTCCCAACTTTGCAAAGCCCGTCAACCATCTCTGTGTAGATTACAACATTAGGGGGGCAAGATTTTTCTAGCATATTGGACAATACTTGTGAAGCAAGATCCAAACGATTATCTTTAAACATCTTGTCAATCATAGATCCGTAAGTAAAAACATTTGGACTATACCCACGCTCACACATTCTTGAATACACCCCTTGTGCTTCCGCTAGCTTCTCATCCTTAAGCAACCCATCAATAAGAGCATCATACACGATATTATTAGGTTCGCAACCTTCAAGAGACATCACGTCCAAAAGTTTGCATGCCTCGTCAACTTTATGCACTTTGCACAAACCGTCCACCAAAGCTCCATATGTTACAACATTTGGCTCCAATGTGTTGCCTTCTTTTCCCCTAAAGTATTTGTTTACATCTGGAATTTCTTTACCCTTCATTCTTTCATAGATCTGCAACGCTTTTTCAACTTCACCAGCTTTACAGTGACCATCGATTAGAGCAGTGATTGTGACAACATTTGGAGAGCAACCACATGACAACATCATCTCAAATAACTCATTCGCATCCGCTATCTTCTTAGCTTTAAGATAAGCATGCATAAGTGCAGTATAAGTGACCACATTTGGAGAGCAACCATTCGTAACCATTTCGTCAAACCAGTTGCGAGCCTGCAAAAGTAGGCCAGCTTTACAAAAACTATCAATCAACATTGTATAAGTATGAACGTTTGGAAGAACACCATTCTTTTTCATTTCTTTGAACAACCAAAAAGCCTTCTCAAATTTGGAAGCATCACACAAGAAACTAATTACGTTGGAGTAAGTACTGGCGTCGGGTACAAAACCCTTGCTCATCATTTCACGAATAACATTGTAAGCTCTATCAAACTTTCCAGCCCCACAAAGACATTGAGCATAATTGCTGACATTGATTCTATTCAATGTAAACCCTGACTCAAGCATTTGACCATAAGCCATTTCAGCCAATTCTAACTTATCAAGGCCTGGCAGCTCCTTGGATCCACAAATCCCACCAATAAATATGTTATAAATTACATAACCAGGTTGGATACCATATCTAGCCATTTCTTTAAGCAACTTATATGCGTACTTAAAATCTTCTGATTTACAGAAAGCATGAACAAGAGAATTATATATTTTAGGACTCGGGTAACAACCTTCGGCAATCATCATACCAAGAATTCTCTTACATCTACCCAGCTTCCCTTTATTCAAACACCCACAAAGCAAAGTCTTATATGTCAAACCATTAGGAACGCAAGAATCAGACCTCATTCGGTCCAAAAAATTCATAGCCTCTTCAAAGAATGAACCTTCACATAACCCACCTATCATTCTAGTATATAATACAGTATCAGGAGCAAACTTTTCTTTATCTACCATATCAAGGGCCTCCTTCCATTTCCCAGCTTTACACAAAGAATATGCTAAAGTACCCAAAGTATGTGCATTCATTTTATGACCTAAATCAGCCATCTCCTGGTAAATGAGACAGGCCGTATCCAGTTTATCTGCTTTCAGAAACACCTCCATCAAAGCATTGTAGGTCACTTTAGAAGATTTGTATCTAAAATCTTTAAGCCTACCTAGCTCCTCGAGTGCTACATTCCATGAACCATTTTGACAATACTTCCGAATCAATACATTAAGAAGTTTTCCAAGAACTTCTTTATCGTCATCATCTTTAATCTCCCTAAGAAAATGATCGGATAATCTATCAGCATTATTACATCCCATTATATCTAATAAAGTGTCATAAACAGCTAATGAGTGAGTATACCCAATTTGTCTACCTGCCCATAAGAAAAACTTTACACCCAATTCAGCATTTTGAAGTAACCTTAACACATCAACCACCAGTGACTCACTCAGTTTCTCCCTAAACTTACTAAGAAATTTTTGGGTTTTATCACCAAAATCCGCGCCGTTATCTCTAATTGCATTACAAATAACATCTACATCTGAACACTTACGCGATGCGGACTTGTCCACGGACAGCGAACCCTGCAAAACTGCAAATTCTTCTGCCAAATTGGCCGCAATCCCAGAATCTCTTTGAGGATCCGAATTGCTTTGTGGAGGATTAAAACGGGGATCGATCAGTCCCTCCAACTGATCAGGAGATGAAGTGCTGATGGACTTCTTGAAGGTGTCGTATACTGAACTTTGGCGGGAAATTTTTGATGAATCCGGGTTTGGTATTAGGGAAATTAAACTGGCGAGTGAGGAAGAATGTCGCTTTGATAGATGAAGATTAACCTTTTCCCAGCTTCTTTTCATCCTGTCTGAGAATTTGAACTTTGTGGATTTAGGGTTTGTAAACGATAGCTTCTTATGGACCCGGAACTTTTCCCCAATTTCTAACTTTAGTCTTAAATGTTAAAATACGAAGTAATGTTAAAAGGATAATATTGTAAACACAATAATTTGAAAAATAAATACCTAAAACAAATCGTTTACCAAACACTTATCCGGGTAAGCGTTTATCAAATCACATTACATTACCAGATGAATATGGTAAGGACCAATAATCTTACGAGTAAGAGCGAGATAAGAACCAAGAGTCTTATCCAGTAAGTGAGGGTAACGACTCTTACCACAGTAATTGCTTACGGGGTAAATTGTTGTATACGATACCATTTTGATGGATTAAAATATTACCCGGCAAGTAAATGACAATGTTAATTTTTGCTAGTAAGCACTTACCGGGTAAGTGTTTAGTAAACGGCCCCTAAGTTTAAATTTTTTTTGATTTAATTTCATGTTTGGATTCAATTCTAGTGAGCTTATTATAAACCTCAGATCCCTCCCTGATCAGCGATGGATTTTTTTCGTCGCTGATACTTTGTGTTTTCTAGTAGTGTACTTAAAATTTAAACAAGAAAAATATGAGGATAGGTAGAGATCGATATCCATTGAGGTGTGTAATCAATGAATTGTGCAAAACAGTAAAAGTTGCAATCATGTAGGTGACCTATACCCCGACCAAGTCAGGTAAATTGGATACATGGTGAAGTCCAACCAAACTACCATCCCTAATGTCAAGTCAGGTATTCTCAATTACGCAGATTGTATGAAAATCTCATATATGAAAAAGTTGTCTAAATGTTATGTTCCAAATAAGTAATAAAAGCACAGAGTAGCATAAATCTCTAAGCGGCCATTCATGTGAAACATCGTACGTTACAACGATAATTATGACGAGCTTTTTACAACATCGGATTTTATGGGGATGAGACATTTGTTAGCACATGCCTCCCACATGCATGTCACATCGGGGTTATTGATCAAAAGTCCAAAATTGTAAAATGAGATTTTTGGCATAATCTATGAAAAATTAAAATGGAATAATATTTATATACTTTGTTAACAAAAATATAAGAGTAAATGATAGGAACTGGTTTATGTGGTTTATATTTTCTAGTTACAATGATCTTAAAATTAAAATAAATATAAAAATCGTGTTTTTGATATGTATTTTTGTACTTATTAAGTTCCTCTCTTTAACAAAATCAGTAAATATCTGTTAATCCTGTAAAATTTGAGGGCATTCTGATCTTTTAATCTATTTTTTTTTTTGTCTTTATCCTATTAAATAATTATTAATTAATATTATACAATAGATTTAACACACTCACACTCACACTCACACTCACACTCACACTCACACTCAGGGGTTGTTTGTTTCCCTCTTAATGGTGACATTAAGAGGGAACCTCTTAATCGGTCAGAGGTTTGGGCTGTTTGGCAAAAAAAAAGAGCCTCTTAATGGTTACACAAGGCTCTTAACCATTTTGCATCTCCTACCTCACTCAACCATTAAGAGGACAATTCTTCCCACTTTACCCTTTACATGTTCCCTTTACCAGATGCGTCTCCTTCACCCCACCCTCACTCGTCTCCATYTTCTCYGGCTCGTCTCCTTCYCTCCCCCACCCTCACTCGTCRCCGTTCTTCACAGCCCCTCCCCCACCCTGATTCTCGATGATTCATCACAGATTGAAGCCATCGATGAGGGCAAAGAGGAACACATCGCCGTTCTGTTCGTTCTCCGGTCGCCGTCGCCTCGTCGCCTTCCACAGCCTCACGTCGCCGTCGCCGTCGGTTTCTCCATATCCATTTCTAGTCTCGATTTCTCCATCTCAATGTATTTTACTTGGAACAAAACGAGTTGCAGGGGAAGAAGTATCTAAGGATGGTGATTTGATCCGACCCGAACTGGGACGGGGATTCCCCGTTAAAACGGGTCTTGGGGTCCAGTAGACTCAAACCGGAGACGACATCCTCGGTAGACTCAAACTAACGGATATTTTTCATGGGGTTTTACCGGCCCGAGTTGGACGGGGGCTATTACTTAAAACCTGGGCCGGGGATTACAAAACCCACCCATCCCCATCCCCATCCGGTTGCGAAGTATCCACATTCTACAATGGTTTACAGGCTTTTGTAAGAAATAGAGGAAACTAAATTAAACAAGAAAAAGAAAAGTGGGATGTTGGTGATTGTATCTGTGTGTGTTTTATTCAATGTACAGAAATACACAACCCATTTATAATTTGGGTTTCATTTAAGGTTTATTTTGGTTTCATGGATCTGTTCAAAATCAATAAAAAGAGGTTTTGGGAGGATGGGGTGGTGCAGCCGAAGGGGAAGGGGGGCTTCATCGGAGACAAAGAAATGGGTGATGGCGCCGACATCAGAGCATTAGGAGGAGGGACTCGATAGGTGAACGGATAAAAAGAGGGTAAGGAGGTTCAAACGAGAATACCCTCTATTTTACGAGAATGCGAGAACACCCTTATCACATGTGATAATATGCGTGAAGAGACCCTAAGATGTGCGGACGACGTGTTCTACGACTTAGGTCACACCAAAGGTTGTATGTGTCTATGATTAGTATCACATGTGATGGCCTTGATGGATTATAGTATCATATCAACAACAACTTTATCACATATGATAATACTTGTGAAGTGGCTTAGACGCATAGTGGTGCAAGGGCGACTTGGCCCACAACCAAGATTGCATAGAAAATTACTCGCGTCTCTGATTTAGTATCGCATGTGTATCATATGGGATGAATAATGGTATCACATGTGATTGTCTATAGTAAAAGGGTGTTCTCGCATTCTCATAAAATAAAAGTGTTCTCGTTTGAACCCTTCCCCGTCAATATACATATATATATATATATATATACATATAAAATTTATTTTTTATTTTAATAAGAAAAAGACAAAATGGAGGATAACATAGACTAAAATACCTTTGGACTTAACTGGATTAACGGAATATTTTTGATTTCGTTAAAGAGAGGGACTCAATAGATATAAAAATTAGTCCATAAGTATCAAATCTGTATTTATTTTAATTTTGGACCACACCACAAGGGACCAAATCCGTAAATTACTCAAAGTATAAGTATTTGTTTGGAGGGGAACAGTAGTTCGATTCTTTGAACAAGTGTCAGCGACCTTCGATTTCAGATGGCGCATATTCATATCGCGTTGTTGTTGTTGTTGTTGTTGGTGCTGTAAGTTCAAAGCCAATCAAGAACAGGTGTTGGCAGTGTGGTGGGAGACAACAACCGATACAACGATTCCAATTCCAACGATTGAATCCCATATTATCTTTTAAATATTCATTCCAACCCTTTCCTCAATCTATCTGCATGTTCCCTGGGGAACTGAGTGTTCTGTTTTTTTTTTAAATTAATCTGGATATTCAAACCCTTCACGGGTAATCCGGAGTCACCATACTTGAACCTCCATTGTTATAATTCCTGTACCTCCAAACACTTTTGATCTTTGAAGCACAGGTTCAAACCAATTGTACACCACCTTGTGGTTGTGTTCTGTGTTTTTTGTCCCAAGTTCCAGGGTTTAAGTTACACTTCATTTGATTCATTACAGATCTAAGGGTATCGATGCTTCCACCTTAAGCCTTGTGTCGTGCTAATTTCAAGATTTCAATTTATTTTGATTATCGTGGGAAGAGGCTCAGTTTTGTTTTTACGTCGTAAGATCTGAGTTGGGGTTGCGAAATTTGAAGTTTACTGATCATTAGTATATCTTTTTAAATCAACGGTACGAATAACGATTTATTTCAATTGTGTTCTAATGCACACTGTATATGCTTTACAAAGTTATTTAGAGGTTCCTGTTATGGAGTTGTATAAATGATCCGATATCTGATTCAAGTCATTAATTGAGGGTTTTGGTTTATTACTTGGGTAGTATCTGATTTATCAATGCTGTTGATGATTCGATCATAGATGCTGATTTGGTTGTCATTTTTGTTGTAGCTTGAAATTTAGAGAAAAAAAGGATATAGATAAAGGGGAGGTTTTGGATGAACAAAAACGGGATGATAGAGTGCAGTGTCTGTCATTCCAAGTTGGTGAAACCATCCACGAAGACTGTCTCGAGGGCTTATGATGAACATCGGAGCAAGATCTCAAAGAAACATCGGGCACTTAATGTTATATTGGTTGTTGGTGATTGTATGTTAGTTGGTTTACAGGTCGGTTGTCTTCTAGATTGATTTCTTCATAAACAATAATTTTGTGTATGCTTTGCTTTGGAACATGTCATGTTTTAAACCACAAGGGTTGTGGCATAGTGGTTGAGGCCCATGGGGATGTCGTGGAGTATCCCATCTATCCTGGGTTCCATTCTAGGCGTCCGCAACAATTGTGGTCTCTGAGTTTATCAGGGCTGATTTCTTGTAGTTGAAATTTGCCGGAATTAGTCTCCTCGCAGCCTGGGACACCCTTCCAGAAAAAACATGTCATGTTTTAATTTTCATTCGCTGCAGTATCCTTTAAGAGAAACTTTTGGCACCTTATAAGTCCTGCATTTGTCTCTGCTTTAGATTATTTGCCTGAAACTTATATAGCCTCTGAAGCAATTGCACAGCAGAGTTAATAAGTTGAATATTGATATGAAGTTGAAAAAATTATTCAGTGGATTGTTATTTCATCTTCTTGTTACAGCCAATATTGGTATATGTGTCCAAGGTGGATGGGAAGTTCAAATTTAGCCCCATCAGTGTCAATTTCTTGACCGAAGTTGCAAAGGTTTTCTTTGCACTGGTTATGCTTATAATTCAGGTATAAATCTTCTCTTACCTACTTTTTTGTGCTTTATTTTGATTGATTTTCTCCTGGAAAACTTTTAGTGTTCCTTTTAGTTGATTGAAGAAAAAAAAGCAAGGGAAATCTAACTCAACCATGAACCACCATCGGTAGCCTCCAAATCACCAGGATGACATGCATATTCTGTCTCCTCATAATGACACTCTCTCCACTTTTCTTTGAAAAGGGGAAAAATTGGTGAGTTTGGTGGTAACTTTGATGGTTGTCATAAGTTTATTCAAATAAGAAAGGATAATGCTTTTGTTAAATTGGTAATGGTGTACCTTTCATTTGTTTATTTATCCCCGAGTCTCTACAGAGGTTTTTCTGTTCTTTAAGCATGATAGAACTGAGTTCCTTATCTTCTGATAACTCTATGATCAAATACAAGCAGAATCTTAATGTTAGAACTAGTTTGCTAATTGTATTGAGATGGATGTATATTTGTAATCTGTATCAGACTTGGTTCAAGCTGCAAGTTGAGAGCACCTGCATCTGCTTCCCTTTTATGGTTGGAAATCAAATCATGTTTTGCTGATCACTTTAATGTACAAAAGACTAATTGAATCTTTAAAAAGGCCAAATGACATGGTAAACACCAATTGGGATGAGCTACAAACATAGCCATAACAAGTGCTTGCTCTTTATGTATATATATTATGGCAATATAGCAGCTTGTTTTGCCAATGAGTAGTTTTTTAAAGGAGTGATTAGCATTTCTGATCATTATACTAGGAACTAGGCTGTTGAACGAGTGTACTTTCTTGATTGCCAAGAAAAAACACTCAAGTTTAAGCAAGAATTAGCGAAAATGGACACTCACTTAAACACTCAAGTTTAAGCAAGAAAGTATATACATGATTGAATGCAAAGAAAGATAGGGACAATGTATATGGAAGTTATTGGATTGTGAAATATGGTACAAATTTGATCGTATTGTTTAGTACAGATTTTATTTTTTGTAGTTGTAATTTTGATTTTAAACACTTTGACGTTATATTCACGGACTATCTCTTAAGTTAGTGTCACTGTTTGACATTTGTTAAACAGTTGGATGTTATTTGCTGAATGGTTGGTTTGCAGGCTAGAAACCAGAAGATAGGGGACAAGCCAATTCTTTCTTTCTCTAGTTTCGTACAGGTAATGCCATCAAGTTTCAGCTCTTTGGGTTAATACAATAAGGCCTTGACATGCTTTGTAAGCAACGAATCCATTGCAAAGTAGTAATATGTGAATTTCAGATGCTTAGAGGCATCATTTATTGAATGGACTTCTTTTGGATCTGCTTGGTTGAAAATGCAGTTTGCTTAAAATATATAAATTCCTGTTCGTTTGCACTGAGGAAATTTGTTGTTTGAGTATTCTTGATTATTGATTTTCTGATATACATACCAAGCATAAAATGGGGTTCTGTTCCATTGAATCCCTTACATGGCATGCCATTCAACTAACTACTTTACTTAACTCCAACTTCTGAAGCATATAATCATGCAAAATCATTTTACTCCCTTAACTAGTTTTTTGTCTCGTCACTTTTCCTCCAACTGTAAACACATTGACACATCAATTATAAAAAGATCTCCAGGATACCGTAGAAACACCTTTCAACATAGAGCACTAGAAATTTCCAATTTGACCATAAGTTTGTAACTACTGCAGTGTAATGAGAGAGGCACTATTCATTAACCTAAAAAAGGAAAGAAATGAGATCCCTAGTTGATATCATGCAACAGTTTTACGTGCTTTTCTTGATATCTAGCTGCACATTTCCCTAGTGGCTCAAGGGCATGGTGCTTGACAAGTACATACTCGAGTGAAATATATTTGAGGGTTCCTTAAAGTTCCTTTCCAACTCAGTAAGCTGTAACATCTTCTTGTTTCAATTTATCACAGTAATACACACTTCCATTCTATTTTGATAAAGTGATGGTGAACTTGTTCATTGGTGTCTGCAATTTTTTTCCTTCAGGCAGCCCGCAACAATGTGCTTCTTGCTGTTCCAGCACTTCTCTATGCTATCAATAACTACCTAAAGTTCATCATGCAGGTACTTCTGATCTAGAACTTCTCCTGATTATCAATAGCCTGTATATCAGATAACATAAAATACGGTGCCATGGTTTTTTCTTTTTGACGATGAATTTCATGCAAAAGCAAGTTTAGGGATGCATGATTGTGTGATGTGATGTGATGTGACAAGTCATATAGGATGACATAATGGCTTGCTAAGGACATACTGCGCTACATGAACTTCTTACAGCTCCATCTTTATGCCGCTTTGCAGCGATATCAGTTTTCTTCTATAGAGCATATTCACTTGGTCAAGTCTGTAGTCCCACAAGTTTTAATTTTTTAACTAGTTAGACTTCAAAGATGTTTGATAGACCAAGAGTGGTGCTCTTACTATAAGTTTGCTAGGGGTTTTTTCTGTTTTTTGTTTTAATCAATATATACTTTCTATTTGGGGTTTCTTGGTTAGATCACAAAGTATTTTTTTAACGACAAATTACATAATTCCAGAAAAAATCTAATTATCTACATCTTAGGAGTTGAATACTTTATTTAACATAATATTATGTAAGTCAGTAAATATAGTTTTAAGTTAATGTAAAATATTTACTTGTTTGATATGTTAAAGTTATGTTGTTCAAAAACTCAAATCCTAGTTTAGTTAGATGTGAATATTGACGTAGAGTTACTGTAATTTGTTTTGAATTTTGAATAATATATACGTAAACTCTAATTTGTTTGAATTTTGAAAAATAGAGCTCTAAATTACTTATGATTTTAGGTTGAATCATGAGCAGGAAACAAATTGATTCTAAATTATTTAACGAAATAAAGATGTGTCCAACAACTCCAATTTAAGTACAATTTCTTATATATGTAAACTTTTTAATGTATTTGTTTGGCTTATATGTCTAAGTTTTAACTAATTTTTCCTATTCCTAATAGACTGGTTTGTGAGAAAATGGATTGTTTTATTCATATCTGATCTTTTTACTATTGAAGTTTCTTTTGTATTAATAGATTTTTCTTTGTTTAGATACAATATCTATTGTTATTATTATATAGTGAAGATACAATATTGAACGATCACACAGTCGCATCCCCTTGTCATGAATTTCTAGCTACGCCCCTGAATGTAGCAATCAATGAACTTTTTATTTTCTTCATAAGCTTTTCATGGAGCTAAAATTTTAACTTTGAAAGCGTATAGATACTACTCAATTGAAGAAATAAATGGACATTGGTAAGTGGAGCATGGATAGACAGAATAATGGTAATAGATTGTACATGGTGGTGAGAGAACAGACAAGTGGATGAGCCCATGACGCCCTTTACACCATGTGATTCTTGTGACTAGGCATAACCATGTCAATATATGCCTTTTCTCCAAGCATGTGTGTCTTCCTTCTGCCAAAGGCAAAGAAAACCTTACTAATCAAGCCATCAACAAAGATGAACCGACGCTTCCAAGTCTTGTTATTGACATAGAGAAATTCAAAGCTTTGCATGTTGTCAGGCATATATATGAAAGATAGCCCCACTTAAACTACCTGAAATCAATCTTTCTGGTTGTATTTAAAATTCTATCGGGGCATTGCTACATAATGTATCTGATTGCAAAAACTTGGTGAGCAGTTTATACTATATGGGGTCACATCATCAGCTAGCCTGATACCTACTCCCAGACTACTTCCACTATGAAGTCATTTATGACATGTTTCGACAGCCATTGCTGATTGTAGATTTAGAGATTATCAGTGTATTGAGTGTGAATCATCTATTTATTTTCAACGGCTAGAATCTTATTTGCTGTCTGGTATCTAATTTTGAGATATTTTTGCAGCTCTATTTTAATCCAGCAACGGTAAAAATGCTGAGCAATCTGAAGGTAATTGTTGACTGCATTGTTCCGTGCGCTTAGTTATCGTTTGTGTTTTGGTATAAAGGCAGATGTAAGATGTTTTTTTTGAAGGATGTAATGTTTATATACGGCAAATGCAACAAATAAACTCACACACCCTCCTCACCGTTGGTGAGGTTTGAACCCCGACCTCCTAGGAGGCGAAAGGCTACGATACCACTAGGTCAAAGGCCCTTTGGTGGCAGATGTTGATGGTGTATGTTTTTTGTAATTCTTAGAGAATTGAAGAATTCAATTGATTTTTCTTGGAATTTGATTCATATTAATAGTATTCGCAAACAGCCTTTTTTTTTATCATCAAGGCACGTGACTCATGTTTCAACTGTGCTAGCCAGAATCATATATTGATGCTTAGTTAAAATTATGCATTCAAACAAGTTTCAAAATTATGTCTTATTACTTATCAATAGTTTACTTCCCTATGAAAGTTTCCAAAAAAATCATGATATAAAGATAGATTGAACAACTCTGCTGGAACACTAGTTTTTGCTTGTTAGAGCTTGATGTTCTTAGTGATACCGTACTGACTAATTATCTATTGTATAGCTACATCTTGATCCTAGCTTCTTGTTGTAGATTTATGTGTTCCCATTTATGCTACGTAAGATTTTAAATTTCTTGGCCTGTAAGTTTTTTGTACTTTTCACTATTACATGTTCACAGATTTTCTTTTATAGATCTTGTATCCATCTGTAGCTTGATATTCTTCTCATGCAAAAGATTAAACATATCTTCAACACACATGAGTTCTTGATCTTGAATTTCTTTTTTCATTGTTAGTCTTGTCGAACCATAACATCAACTGGAATTTGCAGGTCTTGGTAATTGCGGTTTTGTTAAAGATTATAATGAAGCGTCGGTTTTCCATTATTCAGGTTTGTTAAGAGATTTAAAATGTTAATGTTTCTTTACATATCCTTAACAGGATCAGTCACCATATGTTGCTACAATTGTTCATTCTTAAGCTAATGTTTGTTTTGGATGTCTTTGTTTCAGTGGGAGGCTCTTGCCCTGCTGCTTATTGGAATCAGCATAAATCAAATGCGTTCCTTACCCGAGGGCACTACTGCTATGGGTCTTCCAGTTGCAATGGGTGCATATGTCTACACACTTATCTTTGTAAGTTATCTTTTTAGCATTCCGTGTTGATATGTTCCTGCATGATATTAGTCCAACTTGAGGACTTCTCTACAGGTGACTGTTCCGTCTTTGGCATCGGTCTTCAACGAATATGCACTGAAGAGTCACTACGACACGAGCATCTACCTTCAGGTGATCTTAATATTGTATTAGTTCCCAACTTAATTATGTCCAGAGAGTCTAATATTGCAAAGAGTCATTCTTCTAGATTACACATTGTTATTTTATCTTCTGAATTTGTGTCCTGTTGTTGGATTGCAGAACTTGTTTTTGTACGGATATGGTGCTATATTCAATTTTCTTGGGATCCTTGGAACCGCCATTATCAAAGGTACTGACTGACCTGGATATCGACTTTCCATATTCAACAATCTATCTAATTGAACAAACTAATTATGGTTGTATGAATGATAAGTACTGAACTGTATATAACTTCCTTTCTTTACAAAATTGCGCACATGCAGTTGTCTCAGATTGTATGTAATTTTCTTCTCTTTTTACTAGATTCGCTTCCAAACAACATCCTGATGGTGTAAACTTCTATTTACTAATTATTCATGGCTCGAAGAGGTGCTTCGAGTGTAAAGCTTTTGGCTCTATCTAAATGTATAGTTTACTTTAGAAGCCACCAATGATGGAGACTGCCAAAGATGCTAACTATTTATCTTTTCGGACTTGATTTATGCCATTTTTTTGGTTTTTCAGGCCCTGAAAGCTTTGATATATTGCAAGGACATTCAAAAGCTACCATGCTTTTGATTATTAACAATGCTGGGCAGGGAATTTTATCCTCGTTTTTCTTCAAATATGCGGGTAAGATAGTAATGTTCATATTTCATCTTACAGTATAACGTTTAAACTTCATTGCTTCCCTTAGAAAGCGAATTCTTCCACTTCTAAGCAATTAACGGTTGTTCTATGGATGTACAATTTTGCTTGCTTTATTTCTTTTTCGAGTTATAACATGCTCACAATTCTACTATCTTATTCTCTAAAGGTTTTTTTGTGGCATGCAGATGCAATTTTGAAAAAGTATTCGTCAACTGTTGCCACAATCTTCACAGGCTTTGCATCTGCTGCTTTGTTTGGTCATACTCTGACCATAAATTTTCTGCTAGGAATTTCGATCGTTTTCATTTCAATGCACCAGGTACGGCTATAAAAGTTCATCCTTTCCTTATTTTCAGTTCGTTATGTAACTTACCCTTTGCATCGTTCTTTATCCAGTTCTTTTCGCCTCTTTCGAAAGTCAAGGAAGAAGAAAACGGAGTGATAGAGTTGGAACCTGTTCAAAGCAATGATAGGTATTAATATTAACTTGTCGATGCTTGTGGTATAGCTTTGATTCACCTGGCTGCTTTTAGGAAGAGACGTTCTTCTGTTAGGCAGTGGCGTTCTTAAATTTGTCAAAAAAGTCATGCATTTAAAAAAATCCGTCAGGAGTCATTCTCCTAAACTAAAGAACCCACATGAGAATTGCAACACTTTCCTCCTTTTTTGACACCTCATTGGAACTGCAACGCTTATTTTTCTGGTGAATGTCCACATTTTTATTTTAGTTTGTCCCAAAATAAATATCCACTTTTAAAAATACTAGTGCTCACGTTCCCATTCTACCCTTAGTTATGAGATGAAGAAATTAATTTTCTATGAAAACAATGATATATTTTATGGGTCAGGTTTAGGGGAAAACTGCAAAAAAATAAGAAAAAATATGAAAAAACTAAAAAACAACCTAATAATCATTCATCTGTACGATATGCACATGTGCATACAAGTAATTAAAGATGTTTCCTGGTTTCTATGCACGTGTGTATGCAGTGGCGGAGCCACCAAGACACCAGGACGTGCAACGGCTTCCCCTAAAGTTTTGAATTTGAAAAAAATATAATAATAGATATTTTTATGAAACGGTGGAGAGCAATGGTTTAGACATTTAAATTGGGTTTGGCTCCCTGTGACGCCTCATGTCTCAAGCCCTTAATCTCTCTCTTATTCATTCTGGATCCGGATAACTTCACATATTCCTAACTGGATCATTTTGGCATATGGAATCCTGAGAATTCAGATAATATCTGGCAAATTAGAATCCAGATGCTGAGCTTTAACGTCAGTCGAATTTATATTTGAGTTCTTGTTAGTCGAATACAAACATATCCAGATAAGATCCGTTTGCAGGGCTAGTTACTTGATTTTTATCAACTTTTACAGGTCAAGAGACTCAACTTTCATAAACATGGCCGCAAGTGCTAATGAGGAGGTAAGGATGTCCATAGTTTCGCTTCTTGTGCTTTAGTAGGCCTTCCAAATTCTAAAGACCCTTTGTTTTCTTTTGCTTTATACTTTTTTCAGGTTAGTCATCGCGTTGGTTCTGATGAAAGACGACCACTTCTTCCTACCTAATCCGACACTGGTATGTCACCTCATACAATATTACACATCTAAATGCATTCCTTATAGTATTGTATTCCCTCTGTCCCATTAAACTTGCAACAGAAACCGAAGGGACACACCCAAGGGGATCAAAATTTTGCCTCCCCCGTTGATATGCTCTTGAGCAATACCCAAGTGTGAGATTTGATTTAGGACCTATATTTTGTGCAAGTATATGTTTTGTCACGAGGTCTATGGTCGGAGGTATTCAACACTAATTAATGGAATTGAAAATAAAAGAAACTGTTTGGTTTTATATATTATGACGGACCCATTCCCCTAGGAGCCCCAATTTTCATTCTGGGTTAAATTATTCCCTCAATTTAGGTCATTTTCATTCCCCTAAAGCAAGGAAAAACACTACGGGTGGACTTTTTCTGTTATAACCCTGGAAGCGGACGCAAGTCTTAAAACAAAGGCTATTCCTGAGCAAACGGCTCACGGTAAAGAATCAACAAATCCGTTGATAGCTGGTACTTTGTAAAAAATGGAAGAACTCAAGACATTGAGGATAAAGAAGCAGATGCTTCTTATAGAACACAAAGCTCAGATCTCAGAGATTGAGAAAGTGCCAGACTCAGTCTAGCAACGTACCAAGAAGGCTCGTCCTCCACCAGAAAAACTCTTCTTAGACCTAAGATACAAAAGGTCAAGGAAGAACGTAAAGACCAAAGGCTCGCCATGCCCAAGTTTTTATTATCTGTTCCAGAAAAATTACTAGTAAAAGATAATTGCTAAAATCTTTATAAAAATACAAATATCTACAATTTATTGTAGAAATTATTGGCTCTTTCATGCCAAAAAACATCTAATCCTTCATCTAAATTCAATTATGAATTTTTGTCAAGGATCACCATTCAATTGGACATCATGAGAATGTTTTCTTTAAAGAAAACCGGTTTTTGTCGTTTTACCGACTGGTTTGGTTGGATTTCTCCATCCTTCCCCCCCTCTTCAAACATGGCTCTGATACCAAGGAAAAATACTAAATAACCGATAATTTATTCATTCTACCTCCTTGATCCCACTCTTGCACAAACCCCTCTACTCTTTTTGGGTACATCCCCCCCCCCCCCCCCAAATAAAAAAAAAGACCCTACTTTCGACCGAGATTTTCCAGGTCAGTTTAGTTTAGTTTTAATTTGTTCAAGTATATCATCCAGGAACCAACTTAGTGACCCAGAGACCTATGACTTGTAGTTTACCGTAAGGAAACCCCAATTATTTAGACAAACCTAGGTAGCCAAAAAGATCCATTGTGAATGCCCTTTAAAAAAATGAACGTGGGCCCCGCAAGACAATAGCACAAAATATGTACATGTTTGACGAAGATTCAGATATTTTGATACAGGTAACTAAAAAGACAATTCGCAATTCACACAAAAAAGGTAGGGTTATACGATTTCTTCAAAAGATGGACTTTCGAGAGGTCGATGTCTCTCCACCAGAATTATTATCAAGAAAAATAGGAATCCGCTACTTCACCTTACAGACTATGTTTTATACTCGAGCGCCATGCTGGAAATCCTCCTTCCCACCAATGCCCTTGTTATTTCTTTTCTTCCTTCTCGAATATGTATGCAATATCGGTGGCTTAACATATTTTTGGTATCTATGCTCTCGTTTTGACCATTTATCATTTTCATCATGTCGATCTCAAATATAGGAATTCCATTCATGTGATGTAAAGAAAAGAAGACAAGAATCATGGACCGAATTCCATGTATACCGAAACATTTGAACACCATTGCAGGCCGCTTCTTAGAAGCATGGGAGTGCAAGCACGTTGACGTTGGCAGTCGAAGAAGATGACTCGAATAAAAATGTAGGAATTATTTTTCTCGTGTAGATCATTCATTGTTGAAAGAGTATGGTTTTTGAAGGGGGGAAAGAGGTTTAGACAGGGAAGAGAGAGCAAAATTGGGTGTGTTTTTTGGAATTTGATATCATCATATATACAAGGTATTATTTGTACTAATTAGCACCTAAAACCATATTTTTATATCTACATTGAATTACAACAATTTTGGATGTTAAATGCAATTTGAAGGTAAAAAAGGTTTGTAATCCGCAACTCCTGAGTCAACTCACATCAGCCACCCCCAAGGCCATCACATAAGAGGTAAATCAGATATACAGTTGTTTGATGATTGCTAGGTGACAGGTAATAGAAGTCCAATCCCCAATGGAAAATGTTCAAACAGCACGTGCAATTTAGTTTGTTATTTTGGCTGTAAATTGTATCGCAATTTCGAATGAGCAAGGAAGAGAAACCATAATTTGATCGACTCCATTCAAACATCACTTTTATTACGAAGAAAATGAACAAGAACGGAGGGAAAGTAGAAATAACTTGTCTTCTTGAAACATTTTTAGGAGGGTAAGAAGAAGAAAGAGAAGGAAAATAATGATAAGTTTTCTTCTAAAACTTTATCCAAAAAAGAAAGGGTAGCAAAAGAAAGTAAATAAATTAAAACCTCTTAAAAAGATTATTAAAATTACAAAATTATCCGCCTCTCTTTTTAAGTAATATTTGAAGCGGGTAAATTTCATGAAAAAGTAACGTACTTTAACTTGATTCCTATTTTGCGTAACGTACTTTTAAAACTTTCATCTTGGTATCTAAGTTGTAAAGTTTAAACATTTAAGTACCTGGATAACTAGTTGAAGCATTAACCGGTTATCATCTTCAATACTAAAATAATTTTTTTAAAAATATGTTACTAAAATAAAAATAAGTTAAAGTATGTTACTTTCTCATGTAATTTTCCCCATTAGATGCAATATAATTAAAAAAAAAATTCCTCTCAAAAACACTAAAGAAATAATAATCATAATTCCTCATCCTTCTATTTTTATTTTCTGTAAGAAAAAGTTACATTTTTAGCCCTTGTCTTTTGTTAAGAGTTACAACTTTTGTCCTTATGAATTAAAAATTACGATTATCTCTATATTTTACAATTTATTATTATTTTCGTCCTTATAATTTACAATTATTGTTATATCAGACTTTCGGTCTTTGTGATTCATAACTTTTCACTGTTTTGGTACATTGTACGTAAAGATAGAAATTATTTTAGAGATAAAAATAACAATAAATCGTAAACTATAGAAACGAAAATTTTGATTTCTGAACAAAACCACAGGGACTAAACTTAAAATTATTAACAAACCACATGGACTAAAATCGTAATTGTTTCTCCCCAAAATGAAACCCCTGGGATGTTGAAGGAAAAGGTGCCGGAATGAGATGATGAGCAGGAGCAACGACAATAGCAACAAATTGAACTCCGTGTTCTACGCACAGGCCTACCATCCAATCCAAGCCGGTAGCATTGACGGCACCGACATTCTTCCTCACGATAACGCCGTCTACAGAGCTCTTCTTTGTTCTTCCGCCGGCCTCTGTATGTTCAATTCAAATTTCATCCTTAATTTCTTCTTCTTCTTCTTCACTGAACCCCTTCATTTGTGGCAGATGATCCATTGGGTGATCCCAATGTCATCGGGGAGGATCCTTATTGCACCGTTTTCGTCGGCCACCTCTCTCAATTGACTACTGAAGATACTCTTCGCAAGGTTTGATTTGCCCTAACTATTACGACTCGGTTCGATTGCATTCGTAAAATTCTTTATGGAGGTTATGGAATGTGTTCGATTTTAATGATCTTCCATGGCCTTTGTTGAAAATTGATATGGTTATTTTTGACAATTGGAAATTAATCGTCAATAAGAACAAAGTATACGCAAGATAAATCAGGGAATACATCTTATCTTTCTCTTCTTTTGGGTGTATGTGTGTCAGTCAATGGAAATGTTACACTAGCTGATTAGAGAACAGAGATATTGTTACTGTCCAAATCAGACTCTATATCTAGCGGGATACCTTGTTAATAGAAATTCCTTAACTATGGAATCTCCATGTTTAAACTGTTTGTCCCAACCATGTTATTTGTATGAAATTATGCTGCAACTACAGCGCATTGAGTATTTGCTGTTTTTTGTTTTATAGGGTATGAGCAAATATGGCACAGTGAAGAACTTGCGATTGGTCAGGCATATTGGTAATGCATACATATTATGGTGCTTTGGGAGTGCTAACATAAGAGTTTGTTGCAGGCAATTGTTTGTTCACTTGATTTACTAAACTTGGGATTTGCTCGAAATTTTAAATTACTAAATTAGTTTATCCATAACGCTATGGGTATGACATTGCTCTTCAATGTGATGCATCGTGATGTAGATACTATTGACCTCTACATTCGGCTTCTCAGTTAGTAGCTTTATAGGATGGATGGCATTTGTTAGTTGTTACAGCTTAAGTGTGTGATCCTGATGGTCCAATGATCCTACTTTTCAAGTTTATTACAAGATTTGATGTTTTAAACTAAGTGGCCAGGCTAAGTCTTGATAAGATTGCATCTCTGATTGTATCGGTTGCTTGTTTACAGTCACTGGTGCCTCTCAAGGTTATGCTTTTGTTGAATTTGAAAGTGAAAGAGAGATGCGACGAGCGTATGAGGTGATGTGCTGCTTGGATTCTGATTCATGTCCCATCTCCCTTTTCATCAACTCTGTGTGGGGTTTCCCTCTTTTCTTATCAACAACTATATCTTCTTATGAAATCAAAATATTTTACGTGGAACACTGTTGTCCCATGTATTTAAGCCATTAACATAATACAACAAATAACCCTACAGAAAAGTGACCATGATCTTGTCCATAGGTTTACCAATTTCTTGTTGTAATACCTTTTCCGAGTGCTGCTTTTGAGTATCAATGCTGATGTCAAGCTTTTTCATGTTCCCTTGTGTGCAGAAGGCGCACCATTCAGTTATCGATGATTCTGAGATTATAGTTGATTACAACCGGCAGCAGCTGATGCCAGGGTGGATTCCAAGAAGATTGGGTCAGTTAACTTCTTCCTCCTAGAATATCATTTAATACTATGTTATGCTTAGTTCTTGAGATTCCCTTATCCTTGCAGGAGGGGGTCTTGGGGGTAAGAAAGAATCAGGGCAGCTTCGGTTTGGGGGACGAGAAAGACCTTTCCGGGCTCCATTGTATGTATTCTCTATTCTATTCCTTGAAATTTCAGGCAAAGGGTTCTGTGGCTCTATTGAGCAGCCAGACGGGTTTTTTTTGTTCCATCTAGAATGCTCATCTTTATGGTAAGATCTACTCTATCCCAAAATAAACACATGGTTTGTTAAGTTGCTGATGTATTTTGGGATAGAGGGAGTAATGGAGAGCTTATGCAAATACCGTCTAGTTGGTCGACAACTGCTAGAAAATTTTACACGTAGAGATGAAACTAACTCGTCTCTTTTTCGTTACGTCTTCTTCGATAAAGGCGTCCAATTCCTTTGGATGATCTGAAACGGCTTGGGATCGCACCTCCCCCTGAAGGAAATTACATGTCTCGATTTGAGGTATGTTTTCAAATTCTTGCAACCACGAGAGAGTGTTGGCTGTAAATGGATGATGATATCTGCACCACATGTTAAGTTTAGCTGTTGTGATGTCCTCCTTACCGAATGCCATAGTATTGCTACGAGTAAATGCCCCTGTAACCTGAAGTACTTTCCACAACCTTGCCATGTGAATCATGCTGCAGTTGCCTGTTTTTTTTTTAGTTTTTTTTTTCGGAAGCTAGATATCTCCACATCATCTAATCGAATGCTGGTTTGACATTTTATTAGCATGCACCATTTACAATATCACATTCATTACTCCTATTGTAAAGGATAAAAGTGTGATTTAGTCGATTAAAAAGTGCAGTAATTACACATTTATAAAAGTTTGCATCGTTTTCAACATGGATGTTTATTTGTTGGGATGGAAAGAGTACAAAATTACCACTTTGCCATTGTTGGTGCACTGATAGCACTAGATTTGTTTGGAAGATTCTCTATTCTGTTATTCTTGATTATCGACACTCTGAGCTAAACTTAACGATGGAAGGAGTAGCTTTCCTTGTCTAAACACCTTATTATCTTAAAAGCAGGTATTCTATTCTAGTTACAATTGACATTTGATTTGATAATTGGTGTAGGTGCCATCCCCACCCCGAAGGAAGACAGATTATGCAGATAGGGAAGACAGGCATAGCAGAAGACGTGAGAGAAGATCCAGCAGCCGGGATCACTTACACGACCCAAGGGGATCTGTGGATAACAATGATAGCTCCAGGAAGAGCCACAGTAGAAATTATTCTGAAAGAAGGTCCAGCCGTGACAAATATGATGAAAGAGAGGACAATGCCGAGAAGAGATACAGAGATTCTCATAGACATGACCGAAGTTATACTAGTCATGACCATCAATCTGATACAAGGCGTTCTAGCGACAGGGAACAACGGTCTCACAAGCGCCACAAACATGAGTAAGATTTCTTTGAAATTAAAGTACATACAATTATGTGTATTCAACTCCCGTTACCCCTAAACATTATAGCAATGAATATTTAGGATTTAGATCCCTCTACTCACTTGGCATTACATGAAGATACCGATTGGCTTAGATTGCCCTCCCTTTTGCCATTTCTTGTCGGTAACAAATTGAAATCGATTAGTAATGTATTATTAACACTTACAAGCACTTGCAAACAAGAAAAACGGATAACGATAAGCTTTTATTCATTAAATTTGCAAGATAGAAATATGTACTACATCCATTGGAGACTTGTTTTCTTGTGCCCGTTACAACCCCTTAAAGAACAAACTCCATCTATGGACGGATCAGGTTTAATCATTCCGATAATCATCGTCTTAAACCAGATTCTCAAATGTTGTTGATGGTTAACCCTAGCATGAGATACAAGTTATAGTCATCTCAGTTGCATAATCTCACTGTGCAAGCAACTGCTTGTGCCCAAAATTTCAGTCTGGCTTTCACATCTTCAGGGTCATCACCTGCACATAAAATTTGAGTCAGGTTTTTATTATTTGGTAGCTTAATAAAATTCAATCACTTCCTTAAATACTTATTCTACACAACTCAATTCTAAACCTAACCGTTTGATGTCATAAGATTCATACCAAATGCTATGATTATCAATTATCTTTTATAGAGGTAAAACATCTGAAACGGGGAACCATCACATGTAATACGGTATAGGGACGAAATAATCTGCGGCGGACTTGGCCTGCAACCTAGACCTTAGGTCACGGCCAAGTTCGCCCATGCCATCATGTGTGTAGAACCGGTTTAAGTTTGCGCCCTTGCCCATCATGTGTGTATAACCGGTTTAGTTTGCGCCCTTGCCATGTGTATATAACCGGTTTATTATATGTGATGGTTGGTTGTTTCAGGTGTTAAGTGTTCTAGTAAAATGATATCGTTCTCGTTTCAACCCTTCTCATGTACTATGATTACAAGTTCAATTAGCAGAATCAGATCCAAATTATATAAACAATTCCAAACACCCCCAGATCCTTTTCTTAATCTAGAACCATATCATTAGAATAACTTGTACACCATGAATTGGAAGTTGTAAATCACCCTATACTTTTCAATTTTAGCGCCAAAAAGTTTTATCAACATCCCTGAGATCATCCTTGTTATTATAATAGGCATATGATTCACACTTAACTTCAAAAAGACCCGAATTTAATTTAATAAGATAATTAATTACCATTAACAAGTCTTGTTTAGTTTCAAATTTGAAGACCCATTTAAATATTTAATACTGTGATTTCCAAAATACTACTCACCAGGACTAGAAATCTTCCAGTTAGCTGTAGCACCTGAATGCGGCGAAGATGATTCACTCGCCGTCGACGGAGACTCCGGCGACTTCTGCTGATCATCTAGAAACTTCTGGGTCATGGAATAACACAATTCCAGCGCCGGCAAGGTGTTACAGAGCTCCGGAATTTCATCGTAACTGAAACCAAATCCTAAATCCAAACATCCTCTAAGCTCTTCAAGATCTTCATCCGTTAAACTCTTGGCTCTCACGAGCTCTTCTTCATCCACATACCCTTGAAGAAATACATGATTCTTCTTTCTGTGCATGTGGGTTTTTGGCCATGAATCCTCGTTCTTGTAGAACCCAGATCCCTTTTCGCAATCGATTGGAGATTGAAGATCTGGGCATTCAGAATCTTGAAAATAGGGTTTGTTGGATGGGGACGTTGGTCTCGAGGAGGTTTCCATTTCTGTGTCTCTTAGTAACGTAAGTGAAAGGGGTTGGTTCTTAAAGACGCAGAGTTTGGCAAGATATGTACACAGTTAGAGTCTGAAATTCCCAAAATACCCTTTTGGTATTTTTAGATTCTTCTAGAGAATCTGTCTGTACCTCGTGAGAACTGCAGAAAGAACCCTTTGAAACAAAACCAAGTAAACGGTTAAGATTATGTAGTTTAATTGGTTTGACAATAATTTAATTGGTTGGTCGGTTCGAAAAGTTTGAAATAATCGTTATTTGGTTCAGTTATCGGTTTAAAATAAGAAATCTTTCATTGTGGACAATGAAAGGGTGATGGGTTTTGTTTAGTTTGACCGTTCTGGTCTCGAACAAAATATCCAATCGGGTCGAACAATTTCTGTAGGCCTAATCTTGTCAATGCCGTTGCACCGAGTATGGCTTTAAATTTCGAGTCGAAGCAATAGAAGGGATAAACATGAGGTTGACTGGAGAAACTTTATTAATGATTACAATCATCCTTTTCATAAAGGAGCGAATGAAACCACAGTTTCACATTCGGTTTTGATTTAAAGACGACAATCACTTATTTTTAAAACCAATGTTCTTAAGACCAAAGAAACAGAAAACTTCAGTTTTTTCAAATTGTAGTTTACGTGTCTTCCTTATGTTGTCGTTTTATGGTTAAACGTTCATTATGATTGTCACTTTGTTAAATTCTAATTTGGTTACCGATTTAACCCATGAAATTGAAATAAAAATATATGAATAATGTTCAGTTTTAATTAAAATATATAATTAAAAGAAGGGGATAAACATGAGGTGGATGGTGGGACAGGTGTCACGATGGTGATTGGATAATGCAAGTGATTATGTGGATAATTGTAGCTTTCATATTTTTCATGAATAAAAAGGAGCCACGTAGATCACGCGTTTTTTTTTCCTTTTTTCTTTTTATCTATAATTACGTCACTTTTGTCCGATTTAATTTCAATTATATGATACACAAATTGTTAATCTGTAACAAATAACACGGCAAATAAAAAATAATTTGACCAGAAAATGGTAAATAATTGAACAAAAATACATTAATTATTAAATAATTATTAAAAATGTAACCGATATGATAATTGAAACATAAATATACATTAAAATCGTTTGTAAACAAATATGTTCAATTTAAAAGATACTAAACTGAGTATTTAATTCGTCCGTATTACTTTTATTTGAAATTAGAAGGGTGCTTGCATAATATAACAAGATATATCTCAATTTCAATGTTTCGTTTTATTATTTATCTATGTTGATATAATACGATTTTTAATGGTTTTGAGAAAGCGACAATATTTTTATTTTTGAATAAAATATGAATTTAAATACATCAAAAAAATTTGGAAAAAATGTTATATCGATGTTAGTATTAATTTACTATTTATAATTTTGGTTTTTTTATGTAATTTCTTTAATTCAATATTTTAGATTTTTTATATTCAAAAAGATAATTTCTTTAATTCAATACTTTATGTAGTTTCTTTTTATCAGGGTCGGCCCTGCCCACGTGCAGCCCATGCGGCCGCACGGGGCATCAAGGCTGAAAGGGCATCAAGTTGTGATTTTATTCCTAGTTTTGGGTTTAATAATTTGGGAATTGGACAATTGAGCTTTAACTATAAAACAGGTCCAAAGCCTAGTAGTGATGAATACTGAATGCACATTATTTGAAAAAGTTGGGAAGTTGGAAAAGTTTTTGTTTGTATAAAGTTGTCTGTATAAATTAATCTATTTGTATAAGTTGGAAAAGTTTTTGTTTTGGAGAGTTTTTTCGCAGATGTAAAGAACGTTTTTTTAGTTGGAAGAGACGTGTTTGGAAAAAAAAACTCATTTTCTATATAAAGCTCACCCTAAAATCTTACTGGATAAGTCACTTTCTATATCATTAAGCCACTACGAAACAGTCATGCATAGTCGAACAAATAAACTGTTAGTTGCATTAAACTTATTAAGCTGCTAACAGGTAGACCCTTAGCCTTTAATCGTTAGACTTGTAACTTTTGAGTGTTACTTTTTGCTTATTATGATAGTAATTTGGATGTAATTTACTATTTTAGTTAAAAACTAATTATTGTCTTCCATGTCTTATAAGTCTCATATATTGAAATAAAGTTTCTATTTTGCTAATTTCAATTTGGAAAAAGAAAAACTGAAAAAGAATGAAGCACGATCTTAATCTAGGATTTATCATTTTATCGTTTTATATTTTGTATGCGGGGTTTTGGTTTTTATGTTTCCCTCATTGTATTTTTTTTTATTATAATTAATAAAAATCAACATGGAGATGAGATACTTAGCTTAAATGGTTTCTAAACTATTTAAAAAATCGTATGTTTCGTTGGCTTAAAAAAAATAAGGTTAGGGGCATTTTTTATTATTTTCGCACAGGGCATCAAAAATCTTAGGACTGGCCCTGCTTTTTATTAACCTGGATATTCAATCCGCTATGCGAGTCGACTAATCCCAGGGCGATCACCTGCTTCGCAAATAGCTTGGAGTCACCGCATTTGAATCTCCGTGCCCACAAGGGGATTTTTATTTCTCTTTGGATTTGAACCTGGGAGCTTCTGGTACTTTTGACCTTTGGAGTCAAGCTCAAATCAATCACGCACCACCCTTATGGTTATGTTTATCTATAGTTAGTTACACAAATTAAAAAATTAAGCTTTAATAAGTTGAAATTTGTTTTTAATTGGTTTTTAAGAGTTTTTATCAAATGATTTATAATATAGTATAGATTAGATAAAGATAAATCGACGCGTTAAGTTGAAAATTGTTTTTAATTGTATTCAAACGTTTTATCTTAAATCATTTTATTAGAAAGAAAAAAAATTGAATAATATAGTTGTTATGATCATAGTTAATGCATTAATTTTTTTTTAACTTAAAAATAGACAAAAAAAAAAATTGTTGATTCATTAACTTAATGGGTAAAATTTAAAAATACGATTTAATGACGATTATATTTGAATATTGCAAATGTTATCAACTATCGGGGATGACAAGTTGTAGTGCAAAAGGATTGAATACAAATCGAACGATCAGATTCTCGCTGCATTCATTGTGTTTCAAGCATGTTGGAAAATTCTCGTCATAGCAGTCGTTAAGGCTCGTTTTGAATGCCACGTTAAGCCCATGGCATGCAATATCCCGATGTGTCGTATGACGTTACTTGATTTTTTTTTATTTTTTTTTTACTTTTTGAGTGTTTTTACTTTTTAGTATAACCTATTTAAATGGTGCAATTTTATTGATTCGTTGAGTAATAATAAGAAAACATATATGCATACAAATTATGTATATGATATACAAATTTGTACCGCAAGTCACACGCTGAAAATGTTGTGTTTATGTCGTGACTCGTAAGATTTGGGATTTGACCTCAGTGTCATATTACGTCTCATACCATTTAGAATCTTGATTTTAAGTCAACTTCGATCAAAACGAGAACCAATATCATCATTTAAAAAACACAGAAGTATGTATATTATGTATACATACAGTAGCCCACACGACTCCAACATAATACACAAACGAGTTATGCTAATTACATCAAATAAAGTTGTTTTTGATACCTTTCACAACTATGTCTTTTAAAAAACGTGATCATTTTTACAGATGCATAAAAGACCACGTCCAACAGATATTTTTCAGCACTCTGGACAAAAAGGTTCCCCAATGTCGTTTTCACGTAAAACGATAAGTCGGGTTTTTGCTGGTGGTCCAAAAGGACCTGTTTTCGATGCTTCAATATAATCCACATAACCATACATCAGTCATTCTCACCGCAGATGTGGTCCAGTTTAGTTGTGTCGAATGCTTCATATATATTTTAACATCTTATACCTTCAATCTAAACTAATTTACGTAATCCAACCATGTCATTTTTTTATTATGTAACGAGTACAATCTTTAAAAAGAACCCGATCATATCCTACATAATTCAAACCTTGAATTTTGTGTTGTATCCAATTCGGATTAAAATCTCGTGTCCCAAATTCATACTTTTTATTCTCGTCTATCAGTTTTATGAATACATATCATCAGAAAGAGAATATAAACTTAAATTAAATAAATTTAAAATAATATAAAAATATAATGTGTCTTTATTTGATTGACGAGACAAACACGGTTTTTACGGTGACAAAACAGTGTTTTTATTCACAAAAGTGAACGTGGGCAAAGGGTTCGAGTTGTTAGTTCAAATAATGTAGGGGTGGTAACTGGTAAGGGTCCGTACCATAGGCCAAGAATCACGTGCCTAATCACATCCACCAAAGCAATCGCAATCACAATCACCACCCACTTGCTATTTTGGTGAACTACCGACCACTACTTTTTCCCACATCTAACACCACTTATTATTATTCACTTCCACACTTTGATGCTAACACACACACATATATATATATATATATATATATATATAGGGTATATTTCTTTTACAACCCTCCTTATTTATACAACCCATGCAACCTCCTTCTCAACCAATCAATGAATTTTGTTTGTTTTAATTTATTTTTTAAATGAAAAGGTTAATATTGTCATTTGCTAATTTTATATAATAATTATTATTTTTAAATAATATCAATAAATATCCTATTAATTATGAATCCATATATTTTTCTATTAATAACTGAAACTGATATGGTAATTAAAACATTA